TTATGAATTAAAAAAAAGCACATTAAAAATGAACGCTCGTTGTAACGTGATATGCGAGAGCGGTGTGGATGGCACATGGCGTGCATGAACTTGTGGCCACATCTAAAAGATTTAATCATGTTTGACACAAGATAGCCGACTGCGAGGATCTCTCGAATTGATATTGAATTTCACGCTTCCGTGGTTACCACTCTATGTACTACCACATTTACTATCTCAAGAGATATTTTATTAACCCATCTACTATTCTCAATCAATTCCTTTCTAAAATGTGTATTTATTAATCGTTTACAATAATCAATAAAATAAAATAATTAAAATGTTGAATTTTCAGATCAATTTATTAACTTGTTCTTGGATGTTTGGTTGGTCAACGAACCGGAAAGATTGGTATAGAAGTATTATAGTGGGACGTCAACTCAAGCGATGATATTGGACTGGTGTAATAAACTGTAATGAGAACGCGATCAAGTCAGGTGTAAGTGAGCACGGCTTTTCAAGTCGACCTGGCAAATCTATACGCAAAAACTAACGGAACACGACCACACAGTCGGTTAGAAAAATAGTCATTGCTAATCCACGCATTCGGGCGGACCGCTCGAGCTTAATCCGTATCTTATAGCACGTGCCGGTCACACTTTGCAATACGTTTCTATTATTTATAGCCGTTAAGGTACTTATCTTTTAGATGCGGAATTTATTATATTTTATTTTATAAAATAATACATATTGCTTTATTTATTAAAAGTTTTATATTATTACTAGTAGATTCAGAGTTTTTGAGTAAATGAACTATGCATGTTGAATTATATTATAATAACTGCTTACAGAAGACTGGCTAAAATTCATGGAAGGAATATATGTGGTACAAATAGATGGTAATATTGACGTTGAAGGTATAAGAAACAGTGAAATAAAGAAATCGTTAAAAGTAATGAAAATGGTAAAGCCCTTAGGTCTGAAAACATTTTTGTTGAACTTTTAATGAACGGTCTATATATTACCATAGAAGCCCTGGCAGATATTTTTAATGAATATCTTGATAGAGGGATAAAACATTCCATATGATTAGAACTTGGCATACATTAGATTCATATGTAATAAGCAGAGCCACGACGTTTCGGGCTGTTGATGTCACCATCTGTATAGAGCAGTGAACGGGTTATAGCGTAGTAGTAACATGCTTCTGTCGAGCACATCGTTGTGCCGCAACGATACTGGTTGAATGCTGGCCCATGTAAAATTTGGGGGGTTCTCTGCGGTGCAGCGTTCAATACGTGTTTGGCCGATAGTCTGACTAAAACTCAACCAGTGGCGTGGTATACTATATGTGGGGTGATGTGGTCCATGTGGCCCGAGTCTCTACCGTAAGGCGACGAGCCGCCAATGAGTTGCCCGACAACGTCACAGCTCTGGTAATAAGTTATAGTTTTGTTATTACATTTGTCATATTTTCCTTATTATCAAGTGAAAGTTGGTATTCGGGATTTTGCCAACAAACAAAGTGTGTAAATAGTCTGTTGAGAGCAGTGTGTTTGCGTATCCTAATTTACCATCCTAATTCATTTATCCTGGTTCCAGCTATAGGCCCAGTATCTTATTCAGCTGAAATCTCTGTGCCTGTTTATCCTTTTTGGAAATGCGAAAGTACAAAACAGCCTGTCACTTGAAAAGGTAAAGGCTAGTGTTTTTAATGGTCCACAGATTCACCACCTTGTTAAAGATAAAAAGTTCATCGAAACAATGTCAGGAATTCAAAGTAATGCTTGGTTGTCGTTCAAGAAATATTTTTTGGAAATACTCGAACGCAGAATTATGCCGAAATTATTCCGAAACTCAAATTGCTCAGGGTTCCATTTACTTCTAGATTTTTTGAAAGTTGAATTAACTTGGAATTAATTTAAAACCATTAGAATTACAATTTGGTTTTTCGAGTACTAATTATATCCAGCAAAAAGGAATTCTTATTTTGCAAGCTCACTGTTGTATGTATGTATGTATGTAGGAAAGAGGAGGATATGTTTCCGCATATAGCACTTAGGAACCAACGGGCCCCTTGTACATCCTCCTGCACTCTCTCTGGCTACATCAACCAGCCTAAGGAATTTCCGAAAGCTAGGGTACAGCTCAGAGGTGTGTTCCTGATGCCATCCGTGCCATTTCTCTCCGAAGTCTCTTTTTCTGAGTTCTTGCAGAGTGGGGCAATCACAGAAGATGTGTCGAACCGTCTCCTCGCTCTCTTCACAAAAGCGACAGAAAGGACTAACAGCAAGCTTAAGGTTATAAAGATGCTTGTTTATCTTACAGTGACACGTTAAAATCTTTAATTATCTCAATCTGAGTTGATAAGGACGGGACGATTATCGGTTCAGGCGACCCAACCCAACCCAACCCTTTTGGCAAGCCTATCAGCGTGCTTGTTACCTGAACAAGTCGAGTGTCCTTTTACCCATTGAAGTATAACACAGTTATGCACTGCGGCCTTTTTCAATATCAGATGACAACCCATAACAAGTCCTGAGGTAATTGTTATTCTACTCAGGGCTAAAATAACTTGTCTACTGTCAGTGTAAATTGTGAAAGTCTTACCTTCCAAGTTGAATCTGACAATAACTAATAAATCGTACGAGAAGACTCCGGCTCCAGCTCCTTTTCGTCTACTTGAACCATCAGTGTAAATTTTAAGGCTGCTTTTTACCTCTACTTCTGTGGAACTTGAGTGGGTGAGATATTTCTTCGTAAAAATGTGTTGTAGAGGTGTGAAGTCCGAATTGGTGAGTAATCCACCATTTCCTTCCAGAGAATGGCTTTTTTACTATCTCTCAAGCTCACTGTTTTTTTTGTCTTCTGTTTCGGTAGCTCTTCATAAACTAAAGTAAGTTTGATATTTGGCCATTAAAACCACTTCTTTTTAATGCCACTTTTGAGGTTCAATTTCTTCACCAATTATTACCAAATTTATTGTTTTAGATATTTAATTTCTCATTCAAGCTGTGTTTAAAGCATGTTTTAGTTGCCAGACAACAAAAGTTTATAGACATAACAAAATTTGCATTTAAATCATTTGAAATTCTAAAATGTGATTTTGAACATATCCATATACATCCTGTTCTTTTATTTTGTAATACAATAATCAATTTTTAACAAAGTGAATCATAAATACACGTTCCTTATACATCTTGTGTTTATGCAATTTCCCCAACGACTTTGTGTACCTGCATTGGGCCAACTGTTGCTCATCACAACCAAGCAAGCATGAAAATTCGTTAGAACAGAATACGAATTAATAAAATATGCCACGCGACCAACTGTCACCATCTATATAATTCTAGCTTTACAAAATTGTAATACTCCAAAGTTATAAATCATATTTTTTTTATATTTCTGCTTCATGTTAATTTTAAGTAAATTTTTGATAAAAAGCTAAATGAATTGGAATTGTATTCATTTCTTCTATATTTTTGGGGTGATATTAAGATGTTGTTTATTGCTGAAATTTTCATAATATTGCCGTTAAATTTCCACGTGGTGTCGATTGTTATTAACGGTAGTGATTGCACGCATGCCTGCATACGACAGGAACTGTGGCTGGCACGTGTTGGACACGGTAGTGAACGAAAGCGCGTGCCATCTGTCACCTGTCCCATCCGTGCGCGGTAACACACACGTTATACTTGAATTCTTCCAACCCCACGCAGTGTAATAATATTTTATTCAAAACAATAATACTTTTGTTCATTTCTTTATATGGGCTGAGTTTGACCATTTCCATTTAGTAATTGGTTTTTTTTTTCAGTCAACTATTTGTTTGAGTTCTTTTTCTTTTGTATTCAAAATTATATGGTAGCTCATACTAAGAAGAAAAAGATATCTTAAATCTCAATTCGAAATGATAATTTAAAACCATCGTTGTCATTGTCGGAATTTTCACGAGCATCGTCGCCGTCAGTGCCACCACGTTCTTGACCCTCTCGGAATGCGACCGTCATCCAACACGACCATGCGGGTCCAACGGGTCCAATAGTTCGATCCACCTGCAAACGGTCCTCCGCAGAACTCCATTTACACGAACCCGCATCCCAATGCGACTTCGGTTACCTTGCAGGGCCACCGAGAACCACCGTCTTCCATTTACTATTTACTCCATCAACCTGTTGTCTTCGATTCCATTCGATTCATGGTACAAGAGGCTATAAAGAACTGTTAAATTCTATGGTACTTTAAACTGAGTGCCCATGTAAGTTTATTTTTATGTTGGTATTTCCAATTATTATGATCGGAATTGTGTGGTTTAACTAGAGAAAAAGAAGGATCCCTTGAGCGATCACGACGACGATTTCGTGACGTCACCGGATTCGCAGCCGCGTTAATCCCACGGCGTTAGATCACGACGACGAGGTGGTACGAGATTTCGTGAACTAGTTCACGACGTCTTCGTTGAGACGGTTGTGTCAGTTGGTAAAGTGCGAGGGGTCTCTCCCGATCGTTGTAGAAAGAAAAATACCAGCGAGGTTCCGGCCGAACGGGGACCAGATTTATGGCCTCTAAGTTTCGGATCTAAAAAGCAAAAGAGCCCGAGAGGCGTTATGGCGTTTGTGGATCGATTGCTCGCCGGAATTTGCTCTTGATCGTGACTTACTGTTGTTAGGTGCCGTGTCGGTGAGATCCGACCCAGGATTTAACCGAAGACAAAGACCTCGTGGTATTTCAAGAATTTTAACTAACGGAATCATAAAAATTAATTACATACATTAATATTTTTTTTCACCTGTTCTATATCTTTCAAAATTGTAGAATTTTTGGTATAAAACTATAGAAAGCTTACAAGGTAAAGAAAAAATTTAAATTTAAAATGTTTGTATTTAAGAACCAGACCGAGATAGTTACCTACTGTGAATGGAAAAAGCAGGTCTTTTTACAAATCGGACAGGATTTCCATTTGTCACATTGTTAAACATGAATTCGTGTCTAGCGTATGAATAGGTAATATAACCGGTAGTCTATTTGACTATGAAATGCACCCAATACCTGACCTGTCTGTTCAGAATTGATTTAACCTATGATACCAAATTGAAATTTAAATCTTTAAGAAACGAAAAGAACAACCTAAATATTAACGATAATTTCATATTAATTGAGTTGAATTTCTTCGCTAAAGTGACTTTCATGATCGTATCCTTGTTGGGCTTCTCGCTTTTCATCATTAACTGCTTTTTGATATGCCTAAAAAAAATATTTAAAACAACAAAATAAATATAAAAGTAACTTACTCTGTTATTAATTAAACAACGATGTCTGCAGGAATCATTTTTTCTTTTTGATTTTATTTCAGTTCTAGGGTTATAAACGTTTCTTAAATGCCTTTCTTCGGGATCTTGGGATCCATAAAGTTCTGTACTTTTAAATAACCCCACTAAGTTCTACAATAAATTGAAGTTTTTTAATATTACTTGTTACATTTTGAAATTTTATAACCTTACCTTTTTCTTCATATATTGCCATATTTCGTAGAAGGCAAATAAAAAAATTGGCGATAAAAACACTGCACCACAAATTAAAATCGTCCTCTTGTGCGCCATGTTAAATTTAAAACCCATTTTTTCGTTGTAATAGTGCTGTACTGATACAGCGCACAAAATCTAAAAAAAATTAAATTAATTTTTGTTAAAAATATATTAAAATAATCATACAATATATATAACTGGCATTAAATACCAAGCAACTTTCCACGAACGCGTTACAGGGAACCCAGTCATAAAATGCAAATCATCACAGAACGTTTGCACGCCGTGCAGAACACAAACAGCCACGACAAGAATTGTTATATTGATTATCTCGCATAATTCAGCTACTCTGTACAAAATAACAGCAGTTGCTGTTGTTGTCTAAAAATATTTAAAAAAAATAAATTATTTGAATCTCTAAATATAATTTTATTTATTTACATAATCTTTATTGCCCAATATGCCCATCACAAATATTAACGTAGCCACTACTAACGTAGTATAAACTCGATATTTTTGTAATTTGGGATTGGAATCGGTAAAACATTTCTCTAATATAATGATGTTTACTATTAAACAGTTCATGTTCATTAATAAACAACATGCGAAAAAGTTAAAACTCCAAAATTGAGGCATATCTAAAGAAAATTGGAAAAAATGAGTAATTTTTTAATTTTCACTTACTCATAAATTCCAACGATTGGGGAACTGCTACTAAAACAACTTCAGTTGATGAAAATTCCCACAATGTTATCAGACCTAATTCAGTGGTATGCCCAAATGTGAATAATACGTAATAACTAGTAAACGCAAGACAGCTCATAATTATTATTACCGCATACACTATTACGGTAACTCCAATTGAAAGAAGAGCGGAATGAGCTTTCGGTGCTAAAAATGTTCCTGTTGTTATATGTAATCCTCTTCCTAAATTTAATACCCGAAATGATTGGACAAATGTTACAGCCCATGCGCCTTTGGACACGAATTGTTTCATTGACATCTTAATTAAGTATTCAGAAAATTTTATGCCTCCATGTGTTAACAAAGGTGCTGCAAATACAACACCAAATAAAACACCTACTATAAAAAGCATAATAGTTATCAGCTAAAAATAAATAACCATGTTTTATTATATACTTTTCGATTTAATATTTCACCTTTCTGTAGCTAATTTTTGAATAACCAAGACATACTATAAGTAGAAACCAACAGCAAGATATTGGAAGCAGTTTTTTGATCATCCATAAAACCCCACTAGCAAAATCGGGGATATATCCTGAGTGCATTATACTAAAATAATTTATATAAATTTTAAAAGTGACAAGAATAACATTTACATATAATAAAATTTCGCGGATGCTATATGGGCATTCAAACAATCTTGTTGGCAAGGATGTGAACCATTCCAACAGTCAAGTGCTTCGGGACATTGAAGCCATGGCGCATTACTCTTTAGTGATGATAACATATATATTAACGTCACACCCATATTTGTAGCCAATTTAATACTATGTGCTAAGTTAGTTAATAGAGTTGTATAAGCGGTACCGTGTACAATTGGGCTTATTTCTTTTATGAACAACACACCCCGTTGAGTGTATTGCCCGATGGACACTTGCATATAAACCAACGGTAAACCAACTATAAAAAATATTAAAAAGTACATCATTATATTTGGAGCTAAAAAAAGGTTATTAACGCTTATTGTTTTTAAGTTGTTAATAACGCACTGTCGGGATCCTCGGGACCAAAATTACTTGTAAGCACTTCAAAACACCAAGTATTTAATGTGCACACAAACATAAATAAAAGAAAATCTTTCGGTGAAGACCATTTAAAAAAAATCCCCGTCCCAAACTAAAATTAAATGAATTAAAAAATTATTTATACATGAATTTTTTAGAAATAACCTTTTTGGGTTTCGCATATAAAGCGGAACCTGAGGATATAACACTTGTGTCCTCATATATCGTACTACTTGATTCCACATCTGAACCTAATTTCGGCCCACTTCTTCTATGCGTACCAGACATGATTAATTTTTTATATCTTATTCTGTACTATCAAATATATTTGATGTTCTGTCAATAATAAACAAAGTTGTTTATTATTCACAATAACGTAGTGATTTTTATAAAGTTACAAACGTTATTTTTTCGGTTAGACATGCACTTTTAACCTGTTACAAATGTTAATGGTACCAAGTCATTACTTTAATACATAATTACGATGGCACGTGCCACTATAAGCGGGTGCTTAACAGAGCTCATCACCGTGCACTTTGGTAAATTACCTTAACCGCTTTGACTTGAACGTGTGTACGCCACGAGTCGCAGGTCAGCAACGGAAGAAGGAAGGAAGTTACTCGATGGTCTAGTGCTTTTCAGCATATGGTGTGTGTCACTAAGTTCTTGGCGCACCTTGCAGCAAATTGTTACGGTCAACGATCTATTTTCAAAGCTGATGTAACGAAAAATACAATAACCAAGAATAACAAGTTCTTTTTATATTTACTTAATTTCTGTCATAATTTAGTATCTTATATATCATCTTAACTGACATTAATATGTGTTCGAGTATTAGAAGAGACATCTAGATTTTAGCCAGTTAGTTCATTTTGCTCTTAATTTTCGTTTGATTCAATGAAATTTTAATATCAAATTTGCGAAAAACACATGTCTTTTGATAAAACTAACTTTCACCTAGATTAATGAGATTTTATTATAACTTATCTTCCTAAGGTTCGTTGTGATTGAAGAGAGGGTTTTAAAACAAAGAGACTTTAAACATAGAACTCTCTAGAATTGTAAATTACTGGTAATGTTATGGAACCACATCTTGAAGAGCTCTTCTTTGTAAATCACAATAATGAAATACTAAAGCAACTCAACTCAAGAGAAAGCTAACATACAGAAATAAAGCTTAAAACGAAGAAAACCTCAGTAGGTTGCTTTCAGACACAGTAGGTTGCCAGTACAAGTAGCGTTATTAATTATTTTTACTTCAAGTACTACATTACATTACATTACATAGAATACATATCGGGTAGGCAGACCAACCAACCTTGCACCGCGACCCTAAGGATCTATTGTACCCCGATAGATATCGTTATCAAATTTCACCGTGCAGTCCAATGCTCTTTACGAACATTAATACCTTGCTCGGCGAAAGGTCATTCAGATCTTTTGAGGAGATAAACTGCGACCCAAAAATCGAGAATCTGATACGGTTAACGGCAGGGCAGTGGCATAAAACATGCTCAACCGTCTCTGCTTCCTCCGCACATAGTCGGCATTCAACATCGTCGGCTAAACCCAACAAGTTGAGGTGTGCTTTTAATCGGCAGTGCCCAGTAAAAACACCCATTAGAACTTTTATGCTACTACGGGCAAGTCCTAAAATATTCCCGGGTTTGACAGTGGCGATGTTAATAAACACCTTAGCATGTCTCATTCCAGGAGAACTGGTCCACAGTAGGCGAAGTCTCTCTTCAGCCCACAGTCCAATCCTATATTTGGCCATCGCAAATGATACACCAACTGCTGGTTCCGGTCCCACAAACGCTTCAGCGCTGCCATCTCGTGCTAGCTTATCTGCCGCTTCATTGCCAGCAACCCCAGAGTGACCCGGGACCCAGATCAGAGAGACTCTGTTATCACAACTCAGTGTGTTTAATGTTCTCTTACAATCATTAACCAGAGCCGACACCGTTTTCACGGCTTGCAGCGCCTGGAGAGCGGCTTGACTGTCTGAGAAAATTCGTACTGTCATGTTCTTCACCCCTCTTTCAAGAAGGATTTTAGCACCCATGTCAATAGCAAATACTTCCGCCTGGAATACAGTACAGTACGTACCCAGGCTGTAGGCTTGCTTAATTCGAGGTGTCTGGCAGTATACTCCTGCTCCTACCCCTTCAGGCGTTTTTGATCCATCTGTGTACAAGCAAATGTCTGCCCGAACCAGAGAATTTTCATTTTCGATCCAGGACTGCCGCTCAGGCAGTACAATCTGGTATCGAGCATTAATCACTGATAGTGATACCGCCAAATCTGACGGCATTGATAGCACAGTATCAGTGCTTATAATGTCTTCCGCAGCCCATTGGTAGGACATGTCGGAACAGTTTTGAGCATATTGCTTAAATCTGTAAATGGTTGTTCTAGCCACTTTCTCTATATGCAAATGCAGAGGAGATAGGCCAAGCAGAACCTCCATTGCTAGAGTTGGCGTTGTGCCTATCGCAACAAGTATTTCAAGTACTAAGTAACAAGTATTTTTAAAAAGTACTTGGAGTAATAAGTAATTTTACTTGAAACTAAAATTTCAAGTACCCAGTACAAAATAATTACTCGTTTAAGTACTCTCTTAATCTGAAACAATTTCAGTTTCTTCGGCTACATTTTAATGCCCAGTTTCGATCGTTTCAGACACCTGTTTTATATTATTTTCTTCAGTTTCTTTATCCGCATAAACTCCAAATTCTTGAAACACTTAACGAAATTTGACCCATTGTCAGTAATTGTGGCTAGAATTTTTCCATCAAGATCATATGCCTTATAAATATCGTCTAAAATTTCTGCAATTCTATCATATGAATGTGTTCCTTCAAATCGATAACAATCCAATGACAAGTTACTCCGATGAAATTTCTCTTCTTACAAGACTATATATCTGCTGTTGTACCGACAAAAGTTTATCAAGTCTATGATCATCTGATCGCAACTATCAAAACTTATTGAAACATCAAAAATACAAACTGCGAATTATTTTGCATAATTTAAATTTTGAAATAGTAAAGAGATGGGATGGGAATTAAGAATGAATCAAACACTATGTAGTGAATGGTTAATGATAAAGTATAAACTACCACTGTTAAGTATATAACTAATATACGTATGATGATAAATGTTAGGTATAAAAAAACTTTAAAAAATTGTTACTTTACTTACTATTGAAAGTACTGGAAGTAGATAAACTACTTGGAGTAAACAAATAGTTTTTGAAGTACTTGTTATGTCAAACAAGTAGCAAGTATCGAGTACATTTTAAGCTAAATACTGAAAGTACAAGTATTAAGTACCTACAATTTGAAAGTACTGGCAGTAAACTACTTAAAGTAAAAAAGTCTGCTTTCAGAACACAAAATAACCTAATCCTAATCAAACACCAAAACAACTCGACCTCAAAGTACCTCAAGCACAAGTAACTCAACTATAAATCAACTCAGCAACAAAGCAAGCCAAATCAGCCATAAAGCAACTTAATCGAATCATAATCGAAACCGAATCTAATCCTAAAGCAAAATAACTTTATTTTAAAAGAACTCAACTACAAAGTAATCGAACCTTAAAGCAGTTCAATCTAGCCCTAAAACAACATAACTTATCATTATTTGAACTTTGATTTTTACTGTTTCTATGTCTCTATTTCTAATTTCAATTGTAGTTGTAGGTTTCCTGTTTTCTTTTACAACGATCTTCCTGTACTAAGTGCGGAAAGAAACGAAAGGGGCACCGGGTCGTAAACGTCGGGTCGTCAGTGCAAAAAAAGAGATAAAAAGTCGGGTACGGTAGCGGGAAAACTGTAACGACCGGTTATTGTTCACAAATTGGGTAAACCTTATTGTCCGTGTAAGTATGTTAACAGTTTCTGAAATTAAATTACGGCAGGCTGTAAAAGTCTTTCATTTTTACTGCCCCTCGGCTGTTGTAGCCCGCGTTTCTGTCCCACAAACCAGTGTAAGTAATTGGCGGATCGCCTCGCTCCGGTCACGATTTATCCGAATAGAGAACGAAATTGTTCTTTGTTACATTGTTTACTTAACGGAGGTGAAAATGTGGAGCGATTTCAATATAAGGTATTAACCTTCATTTATCCTTGTGTGTGTTTTTTTTTACATAATATTTTTATTTTCTTTATTTGTTGTTGTGTTTAAAAGATTTTCCAAGAAATAAATTTAACAAATCATTTCATGAATAATTCATATGAAATCATTCCATTCATTCAGCGTGTATGAGTGGATCATATTTATTTTTTGGTGAACACTACGTCATCGATTGAACATTTCCACCATTCCCAATGGGTAATAAACAATCATTACACAGGTCGTTATCCTCAATTATCGCCGTCCGGGCCGTAACGTTTACAATGGACGGTTGATTAAGGAATCGTACACAGAACAACCGGTAATGCGGAATTAGTGAGCATCGCGAATTTGGACAATGGTCTTCAGCCGTACTTTGGTCCGAGAAAGCAGGTTAGCCAACGAACCGAGGCCGTTCCTCGGGACGAGAGAGAAAAAGAAAAGGGATAAATCCGTTTGATTTAACGGTAATGCGATGGGCAATATTAAATAAAAACGTCCTCCCGAGGCACCGAGAATGCAATATCAATAAATCGCCACCGCGCGCGGCCTCTAGATGGCTTCGGGGTCCTCTGGACGTGTCTCTTGTGGCTTTGGTGGCTTAAAGCGATTAAGGCCTACTGTGACAGATTCGTACTTAGCCTAAAGACTAAATATATTGTGATAAATGTGCTCCCGGTGTAATTGTATTAAGGTTTAAAACGACAAAATCCTCAACGGCCATACCACCAAAGAAAAATTGCTAAATTTTAAGTTGAAATGAAATAATTTATGCCGGAAGATTTATTGGTGACAGTTTTA